GCCGATCACGGCTGCGACGCGAGCTGGCGAGGAGGAGCGCTCGTCGGTGCGTGTCGGCGGTGGCGACGGCGCGTGCTGCGAGGACGAGGTGAATGCACGGCGGCCGCGGTGTGTGCCAGTGGTGTGCGCGCTCGTCGCCCGTGGAAACCCGCCAAAACCCGCGGCCGCGAACAACCACTATCGTCATCCCCAACATCGCTACCATCAACAGTAGCACCAGCAACAACAAAAACAACGATATCAACAACGTCGGCGGTAGAAGGATCCTTTCGGACGACGACAACAACGACGACAAAGGCATCTTCGTAGGCAGGAGCTACAAAAATCCCGTGACGGGCAACAACAAAAACATCAGGAATATCAGCGGCCGTCGCGGTGTTACTTGCGCACGACGACGACGACGACGACGACGTTGTTGTTATTATTGCCGTGCCGTCTTGTCGACTGCGGCGTTGTCCCGGCACGACGCCGCTGCCGGTGACGGCTGGTCTCGGGCGGTGGTGGAAAGGAAATAGAGAGAGGAAGGTCGTCGCGCTCGTGTGACGGCGGCGACAACGACAACGGCGACCACCCAGCTCACGCGCTGTCGTTGGCGACAGCGACGTCGGCGGCTGCGTTCTGTTATTATTTTGCCGCGGTGCTTTTGACCCTTCGTACCGGGCGAGTTCATTGCGGCGCTTTCGCGGGGGTGTCAGCCGGTAGGACGTCCGCACCGCGCACTCCACCGCGTATCCTCCTCCTCCTCCTCCTCCTTTTCCATCCGTCTGGCGGCAGCAGCGCCGGCGTCGACGGAACGGGCGCCTCGTGATCGTCAGGCGCGAGGACGGGGCGCATCCCTAAGGCGCCCGTCGTCCCGTCGGTCCCGTCGCGGGCACCCGGGGACCCCGGGCTTCTTCGCCAAAGGAGCGCAGGACGTCGTCGACGAGGGAAAGACGCGCGCGACCAGATACCACGTGATAGTCGTCGGGAACGAGCGAACGGCTCAAGTGTTAGGGAGTCAGTCAGTAGTCCGCGAGGCGTCACGCGGTCACGCCGATCGTCATAACCTGAAAGAATCCTGAGAGAACCGGCGACATCGACGGTGCTCCATCCGTTTCGTCTCCCTCGTCTCTTCTCTTTCGCGCGCACCAACGAAAACAAACCGGGCCTCACGAGCGCGGGGATTAATATACCACCTCGCCACCTGATCCGGTGGCGCGCTCGCGTTCCTGTTTCGGAGTACGGGACTGTCAACCGCTTCGTTCTGACGGAGCGCGGAGGAGCGGCAGCAGGAGAAAGGTGTCCGACGCACGCGGGAACGGAATCTCATAGCGAAGGAATCCTTCGGCGCCTTGGCAACGGCCGGTGAAGCGGAGTGTCCACGTGTCCGTTGTCACAATCGTCGACGATCATCAACCACCGGTATCGACATTATCAACGGATATTATCGCATCGCCGTTACGCCCAGCCTTGCGACGCGCTGAATCGTCGTCCCGCGAATCCGTTTGCTCGCGTCCTCCGATCCGACTCCGGAGGATAGGAGAGGGAGAGACGCGCCGGCGGATACAACAGTGAAGTTTCACGGCCGCGACCCGATTGCGATCGGCGAAAGGAAAGGCGCAACGAGCGAGGAATACAATCCCGCGCGCGCTCCCGTCCCCCCTCCCCCTCGCGTGTGCGTACCTGGCGCGTGTGTGTGGCGTGCGTGCGTGCGTTTTGTTTGTGTGCGTGCGCGAAGCCGCGTCGTCATCCGACACGTTCCGGGCCGAGGGAAGTGGTGCCCCGCGCTCATTATGCTCGCGGTGACAGCTCGACGATAAGCTCGGCGCCGACGGTGGGTTTTCCCCGTTTCCTTCGAGGTGCTCCCAGTTTTCGCGAGTGTGCTCGGCTGTTTCGCGCGCGAAGAGGAAGTACACCGCGCCGTCGAGTATCCAAGTTTTCATCTCTCTCTTGCCTCGCCCCCCCCTTCATCGACCCCCCCTCCACTATTACCGCTGTCACCGACATCGCTACTGATCGCTACTACACCTCGTCGCTCTCTTCCCCTCCCTCCACCAGCGAAACCTATTCCATCGGTGAAGTGCGCGACTGTTGAAATCAGTGAAAACGTACTGTGGTGTGTTCCCTCCTCCTCCCTCCCCCCCGCGCGTTATAACGCCGTACATAAATCTACATACGTATGTATACGCGCATGTACATCTGTATCGTCCAGTGTGTTCGATAGTGCGAATTTTCTTTCTCTCTCGACCGGATCTACCTGCCCGTGTGTCCCCTCAACCACTACCAGTTTCTCTCGTCTATCATTCACGGCGTCGCCGGCTTGTTTTTTCAAGTGGATCGCCAAGAGAGGCCGCAGGGTGACGAAACAAAGGAGGACGTATTCCAGCCTGCTTGAGGAGCGTCGCATCGAAGGTATGTGTTTTGCACGAATCGTTACTTTATCTCGTGCTTCGCGCGCGCGAACAATCGCGCCCGCGTGGTGTTTCTTTTGAGGTTAGGTTCGGGACGCGCGAGTCGATCGAACGGTCGGAAGCGGCGTGTCACTCGTGATTCGTCGTGACGTCATTAGGGTCCGGTTTTTCATTTACCGGTTAACTTGTAGGTAGACTTAAGGGGGATCGATTGTGTACCTTGAAACGAAATGAAAATGATAAAAGTGAGCAAATTCACTAGATATTGATTGATGAAATTATAAATATTCTAGTGAATTTGCTCACTTTCGTATAACTTTTTTACCTCGTTTTAAGATACACAATCGACCTCTCGATGATAATGTAAAAATTGTATTTTTTCGTCTATAGTTGATTACTAAACTGACTTCTGTTGTGAATAACTTTTAAAGTTATTACTGCAAAGCTGTTAGTTTAGTGATTAACCGTAGCAAGAAAAACTCAATTTTTTAATTACTGTCAAATTAAGTGAAAAATACAATTTTTATATTATTATCAGGTCAAGATAAGATCAAGTTTAAACTACGAGTTAATCAGAAAATGAAAAAATCAGGTCGAAATGAAATGAAAATATTAAGTCCGTTGGCGTCATTGAATCCCCAAAAATTTTTGTACTTAAAATGAGGTAAAAACAGGTCTGTTCGCATTGCATGAAATTCGTTGAAATCCCTAAAAAATGTTTGTACTTGAAACGAGATAAATATATATCTGGCGTTGAAGATAGAGAAAGCAAAGTCTGAGTGCAAAAAGTGCAAACAGCGCAACGAACCTTACATTAAATATTTGGCAAAAATGAAAAAGAAAATCGTAATGCAGGTCAGTGCAGCAATAAAAATAATAAACCTATCGCGTCGCCTCTCGTGTTGTTTACGCGTGTGCGTAAACAAGTAATATGCGTATGACGCTCCAAAACGAAAGAAAAGAAACGACGATCAGGGGATTTATATATCTTTCTATATTTTGAAACGAGATAAAAATTACAAAAGTGAATGAATTTACTAAAATATTTATAATTTCATTGATCGATACCTAATAAATTCGTTCACTTTTGTCATTTTTATCCCGTTTCAAGATACAGAATCCGAGAATCCAGGAACTCGAGATCATCTCAGCTGCGTCTCCGCACGTCTCTTCACAAGTTGATCCTAACCTCAAAACTCTCGTATGTGAGTAGCTACGCCGTTCAACGCTCTCCGCTGCCTCACAGGTCCCGCTCCTCCAAGCAGTCCAAGCGCGCCGCTTAAACAGCTGTTTAAGCGGCGCCGCAAGCGGCGAGTCCCGCGCTCTTTTTTTCCCGTCGAACCCGCGCGACGAAGGGAGTCTGTAAATAAAGCGTGATACTCAGATTGCACCGATAGTGTAACGCGATCGGTCTTATCGATACTACACTTTTTGCTGCTTTCCCTTAAGAAAAATGTGTTTATTCGAATTAACATTAATCAATGGTGCGATAAGACCGTATTGCCTATCCATTTATTATCGATCAGCAATCAGTAATTCTGAATTTATTTCTTCGCCGAAAGTTATAGCAAATATCTACTGATATGCGTGATTGTGATTACATTAGAGGCAATAAAAAGAATAGGGATCGGAGAATAAAGAATAGAGAACAGGGGATTGATTACTTATGTATTTTAAAACGAGGTGAAAATTACAGAAATGAGTAAATTAATTAGAACATTCATAATTTTACTGATCCAATGCCTATAGTGAATTTACTCATTTTTATAATTTTTTCTCTCTCTCTCTCTCTCTCTCTTCGTTTCAAGATACACAATTGACCTCTAGAGATTCAGTATTTCCGCTTTTTCTCTCTTCAGTCCTTGAATACGTAATATTTATTTCATTTAAAAAAATGTTGGGAAATTTCAAACAAAATGCAAATAAATCTTGAATCGAGATGAAAATTACAAAAGTGAACAAATTTACTAGAATTAAAACTTTATTAGAAAAATTATATATTTTACTGGAAAAATTTAATAAAATTTATAACTTTAATTAACATTTAGTGAATTTATTTAGTTTAGTCATTTTCATCTTGTTTCAAATACATATCGATCCTCTATTGACTCTATTCTCTATTCTCTATTTCCTGTTCCCTATTTCTTTTATTCTTTGATTGTGCTTCTGATGTAAATAAAAGAGGAAGCAAAATGAAGTGAATTGTGTATTAAAAATATCCAAAGACTCTCTCTCTCTCTCTCTCTCTCTCTCTCTCTCTCTGCGCACTTTTCTATACATGAAATATATTTATTCGCGATAGCAATCGACATCCTATTGCCTTGCACACAACGATAGAAATTATATCAATTTTTTATTTCATGATTTATATTTCAAGATATATATTCATTTATTTAAAGATATGAATAGTGTCACGTTTAATTATTACAGGCATTCACAAAACTAATCAGATGTTTTAGAAATGTAAAAAAAATTTAATGATAAGAAACGAAAGAGGACATTCATAGAAAACAAATTTTTATAATTTATTACTATTATTAGAAAAAAGAAATGATATATTTCTAAAGTAATAAATAATTGAAATTTTTTAATCTCTCAATTTATAAATCGGAGAGTATTATTGTTCGAAAAAAAATTGATGTATTTTGTATATACATGACATTACTTCATATCTGAAAAAGAATTCTAAATACTTGAAAAAAAGTTTTATTTCTAAAATAGTATCATCTGATTTTGAAATTATTTATATTTTATTATTTTAAAATTAAAAAATGGATATTTTATTTGGAGGGATACGGTGTCTAAGAAAATTGAAATCGAAATGATGAAACATCAACATTTAAATATACCTTAATAATAATTCTGATGTATTTTCGAACATTTCTTTATTTTTTACAATTTTATACCTGCTTTCGGCGATCTATAAATCGTGTTGAAATTTAAAGTAGAATTTTATTTATAATTTTATATATTATATAATATGAAATACATTTGAAAAATTAAAATATGTAACACATACAATTCACATTAAAGTGCACTCATGGTATCAAGATATACGCATGTAAAATTATGTAAAAATTATATAAGAATTAGATAAAATTATATCTTAAAGTCTGATAGATTTAGAAATTATTTAAGATAAGCGTTTAAAAAGTCGCTGATAAAGAAGTTCTTATATAGGATTCTTTCAAACGCGTACACGATATATTCTGTCGCGTATATTCTGTCAACTGGTCTCTGCAATCCGTTAGCATTGTCAAAACGCTTTATTATTGCAAAAATCCTACAGGTGGCAACACCGTGTAGGAAAGATAT